AATTCCAGTCGGTGTGATTTCATCGATTGGTGCTTGTTGAAGATCGACTAGTGTTACATTATCATGATTGAATGTCTCGAAATAATTGGTGTCGAGGGAAAGACGTTTGGCCCCGAGCGGAAAACCACATGGGATTAATTTTTCAGCGACAGTCGGATCTTCAACGATTTCACGGATTTTGTTGCGTAGAAATTCAGCTGCTGTATCGTTAGCTTCTTGATTGAAAACTAGATCGGTAAATGAACCTAGAAAATTGAGACTTCCTTTTTGCCATTGTTTTTCATATTCTTGCAATCGTTCGTCGGGTGTCACCGACATTGCAGAACAATTTTTCATGTCTAGAGCTAAACAGCCAGTAATCGTTTCCAGCATTTGTTTTCGATGTTCAGCATAATTCGATTTCCACCATTGTTCATATTCTGGTTCGAGTGGTTTGTTTCGTGCTGGAACGGTAAAAGTTGCCGTTCTTTGAAATACGAAGAGATGCTTGGCTTGCTTAGCAATAATCGGAATTATTTGAACTCCAGATGAACCAGTACCGAAAACGGCAACGCGACGACCACTAAAATTGACATCTGCCTGTGGCCATCGACCTGTATGATAATAATGTCCTTTGAAAGTCTCGAGTCCGTTGATGCTAGGAATTCTAGAAGCCGAGAGACAACCAGTGGCCATAACACAAAATTTAGCCAATATTCGATCACCTCGACTTGTTTGTATCTCCCACCGAGAGTGAGTCTCGTCGAAAATGGCAGCGTTCACCTGAGTTTCGAGCTCAATATTTTTGCGTAAGTCAAATTTATCTGCCACATAATTAAGATAACGTAATATTTCTGGTTGAGTAGGAAATATTTCCGACCATTTCCATTCTTGTTGTAATTCTTCCGAGAACGAATACGAGTATTGCATTGCTTCAATATCACAACGAGCTCCTGGATAACGATTCCAGTGCCATACGCCACCGATGCCATCGGCGACTTCGATGGTTTTTGCTGAAAATCCGCTTTGACGTAAACGATATAACATGTAAAGTCCGGCAAAACCAGCGCCGACAATCACAACGTCTATCATATTTGATGATATTTCTTCAATATTTTTGTCATTCTCTGTATCAACCATGCTGACAAGCGCACACGCGAGAGTTTTATAGAAAAAAAAAGAGAGACGAGACCGCAGTGTCTGCACTATATTTTCAACACGAGATAGAAGAAAAGAAAGAAAGACGAGCCCAATAATAAGAACGTAAAAGACAGAAGGAGAAAATGTGCTATTTATCGAACACGAAGAATATTCTTGATGTACAACGAGAGAGAACGATATCATTGTATTCCAAAGCTCTTGGTATTATATGGAAGACATGGTAATGTTGCATTTGACTCCCATCGAAATAAGCTAATCAATTGATTAGAAAACAAAATAGATATTTTGCATAAATGCTATGCAGCTTTTGTCGTCACTGCAAAATAGAGTATTTCTATGTTAATAGCGACCTCCTTTGCCGAAATCAGTTAACAAAGATCGAAAATGAAGTCAAGTGAATTTACAAAGACAAGTTCAACATAATGCAAACATTAATAATAATTAGCCGAAACAATTAAAGAATCCAATTGGTTCTCATCAATTATCGTCATTGAATAACAATAGATCCATACTTTATTGCAAATTATCCAAAAACAAGGAAGAATAAAAAAAAACGAAAGCAACAAAAAGAAAACAAAGACAAGGGTATTGATGAAGGATTAACTGATAAACAGTAAGCATTACTCAGAATTGCAAATACGTTAAGCTTCATATGTCTATTCACTCATATTTTAATCTTCGTGAGTATACCGATTTGTCTATGAAGAAAAATATGTGATCTCTTTCTTTACCATTCTAATTGATCGCAGAATCAGTTGACTTATCCATAAAGGATAAGTCGAGTCATCTTGAAATACCTTGAATATATGAAAAGAGAAGATATATTATTTTTCTTAACAGAATGAATAATATCGTTCAAAGATAACCCATGTAAAAAAAAAAAGTGACAAAAAATACTTTTAAGTACTTTTAATATTAATAAAGTAGAATAAAGTAACTTTTCCTACTATCTTTCACTTTTTAAAGTATTTTTTCATGCTTTTTCCACTTCCAAAAGTACTTAATAGTGCCTTTTTTTTTACTAATAATCATACTCACTGGTAAAAAGTACTTTTTATTATTTCTGAAAGTGCTAAAAAATAAACTATGTCCGCTAGACAATAACTGCAGTGTTTTCGTACTATGAGTGTATATAAGAAACACTGTTTTCAGTCAAAAATATCAAATGAGTTACTCGTTAATTTTCGTATAAGGTACTTGTACAGAATGTCCACTGTGCATTCCCCATGTGAAAATTAAAGCGATAAAGCTAGCTTAAAATAGGTTATATTTTCGCTTAGAAAACGCTTGTAAGTATATATTTTAAGCCATTTAAAAGTGTTTCGGACAGATTGAAGCGATTATTAGCGATTAAAACAATAGTAAAACTTCTTTCAAGTCGCTTATGGCAGCTGAAAAAGTCGAATTCTAAGTCTTTACCAGCTGCTTAGAACTCATCTATTGGATAGTAGATGATAGGCGATTAAATATAACGAATCACTTAAGTACTTATCATCTACTGTCCAACAGATGAGTTCTAAGCCGTTGGTAAGAACTTACAATTCGACTTTTTCAGCTGCCATAAGTGACTTGGAAGAAGTTTTACTATTGTTTTAATCGCTGATAAGTGCGTCAATATGTTCGAAGCACTAAGTAGCTTAAAATGTGCGCTTACAAGCGCTTTCTACGCAAAAACAAGCTAATCTAAGTTGTTTATAAATAGCTTACAATGGAAAAAATTTTCACACGGGCCATATCTTGATACCCAACTTCTAGTTTCACTATGCTGGAAAGAAAAAGAGTAAAAAGTACTAAAATACGGTTAGTAAAATATCATTCTGAAAGAATCTTTGTAGTACTTTCGACAGTAAGAAGTAGTACTTTTTTCATTTAGTGAAAAAATATTGAAAGTACTTAATAGTAACTTTTTTGAATCAAAACTTTGACATGGATTATCTCGTGTCAAAAAAAAACCAATGGGCGATCTGGGCAAGGTTTTTATTGATAGGTCAAAACTTTTTTGATCCAACAAAGTATTAATAGCGTAAAAAAAGACATACATAAGTTAGTGTTGAGGATTCTTCAAATATGTATCTGTGCAGCACACACGAACATTTTCCCTATGAACTACGTCATTTCACATCTTGGTTTTTTCCTTTATGTTTTCACATATACGTCATTGGATTTTTCCTTTCTCTTCTATGCATCACTCTGTGTGTATATATATGTTTGTGTGTGTTTTCTTGATCTGTGCTCTTGTTTCTCTTCTCTTTGGTCTATCCTTCTCTACTTTTACGTGATTAGTGTTTTCTCAAGAAAACCGAATTCATGTTCATCCACACTTACAATTAAAATCAAGGTTGTCAGATTTTCTGAAAAGTCAGGAAAGTTTTTGAAATTTGAACATTTTTCCGATTTTTTTTCTGATTTGTTGTCGAATTCCAAACGTTTTTAGATGATGGCTTTACTAACGAAATTAAATACGAGTATAACCCATTAGTATTATAGATTCGTATTTCACTACTTCCTTTCATTTCTTAATCTTTCGTAATTTCTGAATTCTGCAACTACTGACGAGTGCTTTAATATATCAGTAAATGGTCGCATTGATGAACTTAAGTATGAATGCTAATTATTCTTTTTTAACGATTTTGTAAACATATTTTTGCTCAAAAACATTGATTGAAGGAATTTTGAACAAAGGCAAACTTGAAAAACAATATAGAATTTATATTCTACAATCTTTATTATTTTTCGTAAGATTTTTTGATCTGCATGGTTTATATATATGATTTGTTTGTGCATATTTTTCGTAAATAGAGTTTTGGGCTTCGTAAAGGAATCCGACACTAGTTGTGTTTCGCTAACTTTTTCTGTATTAACTAACAATTGAAGGCCATGCAACGATATATTAAGAAGATCGTTCATAGTCGAATCAAATGAATGCTCTCACTCACAAACCAACTATTATCTTGTCCGGAAAATCCGTGCAATTCATATATTATGAAACCTTAGGATAACAATTGCTGCATTTAATCAATACAATGACCTTGGCTAATAGTCACACGTAGCTCATTGGCAATGTGGGATCGCTAGCGAAGGCAATTAGATAGAATAAATACAGTACTTGTTAACCTAAGATTTCATAGTATATCAGTTGCACAAACATTCCGGACAAGGTAATATGATAAACAGAAAACATTTTTCTTGAAAACTAAGAATCCTACTTAAAAAATGTGTCCAGAAAAAAGGCGATCTATCTTGAATCCAAAATTTTTCATTAGAAGTTTTTCATATTTTCGATTACGACCATAATCAGTCATTTTGATCTTTGGTTTATCGAACCATCCCATGTCGTCTATTATTTAGCAACTGTGATCGCAGTTACGGCATAACTGCGTCATAATTCGATCGCAATCGAAAACATGGGAAATTTATCCTTTGCTTTCTTTTGCTATTCGAACATGAAAGCCGTTCTTTTTCATTTATTTTCGAACTCGAATTAGACATCTACTCCCATTTCCATGTGTAATTCGAAATGAGAACTCATGAATGCAGATATGATATGGGATTCCATAGAGATTCATGCACATTTTGCCTTTTTTATTTTGTCAATCGTAATGATTTTGAGTCGTTTAGTAGATACTGATAAAGTGGAATATCAGGTAATGACTAACCTGTGCAATCTGACTTACATTTCTTATATATCATTTGGAGTTCTTAAAGCGTAATAATAAAGTTGAATTTCTTCTTTAGATTGCTGAAAAATGTGCAAGCATAAGACGCAGTCTTTATCGATACTGTGTATGATACATCAAATCTTTGCATTGCTATTGATTTTAATTCTGACAGAGAACAATACTCGAGCAGACTCGGTAGTCATGGCACTCAACACCACTGAATATGCTCTTGGACATCGCTGTGTTTGGTCAACATGCAATGTGACTGGTTATCCATCTATATATCGTGAATATAAGGTGGATTGCTGCACCTTATCAGTGCCATTGAATTATGCTCGACCGAATCGATCCATTACCATTTCTATGTCTCGTCTGAGTCCTCTTCAATCAACATCACAAAATAATACTCTATTTATTCTAATGGGTGGACCAGGTGCATCAGGTTGGAACCTGCTGGAAAGTGCTGCATTACTCATTCCAGCTCAATTGGGGCTTACCATAATATTACCTGATCATCGAGGTACTGGACTATCGACAGTGTTGGGTTGTGACGATAATGATTCACAAACAATTACGACAGACTGTATTACTTATTTGATATCAAAATGGGATATCGAAGGATTAAATCAATTTTCAATAACAGCAGCTGCACATGATTTATCAGTACAAATACAAGTCTATCAAGCTGATCATCCTGGACG